CTTTCTTTCTTTCTTTCTTTCTTTCTTTCTTTCTTTCTTTCTTTCTTTCTCTCTCTCTCTCTCTTTCTTTCTTTCTTTCTTTTTTTCTTTCTCTTTTTTCTTTTCTTCTTTCTTTTCTCTCTTTCCTTTCTTTTCTTTCTTTCTTTGCAGAGTCTTGCTCTGTTGCCAGCCTGAAATGCAGTGACGCGATCTTGGCTCACTGCACCCTCCGCCTACAGGTTCAAGCAATTCTCCTGCCTCAGCCTCCCAAGTAGCTGGGACTACAGGTGTACGCCACTATGACTAGCTCATTTTTGTATTTTTAGTAGAGGCAGGATTTCACCATGTTGGCCAAGATGGTCTCAATCTTCTGACCTCATGATCTGCCTGCCTCAGCCTCCCAAAGGGCTGGGATTACGGGCATGAGCCACTGCACCTGGCCACAAATTTTTATTTCTTATGCTAAATGCATTTTAATAAAATTTCTAAATTGAGAAAAAAAATAAACAAGTGCTCAATCTTTAAAAAAAGAATGGAATATTATTGTAATCCAGTTCTGGTGTGGGTGCATAGATGATATTACATATTGGATTTTAAAGGGTTAATGAATGTTTCAAAACACCTTCTTCTTTGCTGAATGATGTTGGCAGGGTTTAAAGCTGATTTGTGTTCACAATACTTCCTTCAGGAAGTATTCACACAACATCTCCAGCTGGTGTTACTCTCTCTGCTACTTCTGCACTTTTTTCGTGGCTCCATTACTGCCCCTTGACTGGGTGATTTATGGGTTTGATATTCAGGCTGTCTCTCTTACTAGCATGGAAGTTCTTTGAGGTGTTTCTCACAGGCATTATATGTAGATGCTTTAAAAGCTTATTGAGTGAATTAATGAATTAGTGAGTGGGTGGATGGATGATGGTACCAGTCAAGCTAAAATACATAACTGTCCACAAGAAGTTACTGTTTGGCACATGTATTGGTCAGGGTCTCTACAGACACAAAACCAATAAGACATGCACATACAGTAATGTGCTGTACAATTATGTTTCAGTCAAGAATGGAACACATTTATTATGGTAGTCCCATAAGATTATAATGGAGCTGAAAAATTCCTATCGCCAAGTGATGTTGTAACTGTCATAATGCAATACATTACTTACATGTTTGTGATGACACTGGTGTAAACAAACTTACTGCACTGCCTGTTACTTAAACGTATAACATATATAATTATGCACAATACATAATACCCGACGATGATAATAAATAACTATGTTACTGGATTATGTGTTTACTATACTATACTTTTTGTCATTATTTTGGAGTATATGTTTTTGACTTATTATAAAAAAAAAGTTAACTGTGAAAAGCATCAGGCAGGTCCTTTAAGAGGTATTCCAGAAGGCATTGCTGTCATAGGAGATGACAGCTCCATGCATGTTATTGCCTCTGAAGACCTTCCAGGAGGACAGGATGTGAACATGGAAGAAATGATATTAATGATCCTGATCCTGTGTAGGCATAGACTAATGTATGTGTTTGTGCCTTAGTTTTTAACAGAAAAGTTCAAAAATTAACAAATAAAAACCTAAAAACAGGAAAAGGTTGTAGAATAAGGACATAAAGAAAATATTTTTCTACAGCTTTTTAATGTGTGTTATAAGTAAGTGTTATTACAAAAGCATCAAAAATTTAAAAACAGTTAAAAAGTTTATGATGCAAAAAAGTTAGAGTAGGCTAAGGTTAATTTATTATTGAAGAAAGAAATGTTTTGTAAAAGTGTACGGTATTTATAAAGTCTACAGTAGTGTACGGTAA